TCAGTTTTTTCAACTTGAAATCTACAAAGACTTGGGGTCATCAGCCGTTATAGCTCACAGTAGCTTGTTTGAGCATGTTGTCTTGGAAAAGATATTTAGCTTCTTTCATCAATGGTAGTCTGTTCCTAGGAAAGCCATCACTTGCCCATCATGTTTTCATATGAATATCACATAACCAAAGTTGCGATTTTATCCATCCCTTGTTTTTGTCAAATATGCAATTTTTCTACATAGGCCAATTCGCTTCATAACTTGAAAATCCTTCAGCCCTTCGACGTCATAACCAATCACAGGTGGCTAGTCATCACATTCGAATCGGTTTTTATTTGGTAAACAGTAATGAGCTAAAACGTGGTGAACTAATACGATGAGGGATTTGCTCTATAATTTGGTCCACAAAGTGGTAAAATGACTTGGAATGGTTTCGGAGGCCTCGTGTACCTAATTTTTTACCACCGTTAACCAAAGAGTTTTTCGGAAGCTTACTTTTCGGGCATAAGTGTGTGGGTCTAAGCTAGAAGATCTTTGCCACTTGCCGCAGCACTAATCCTGACCTGTTAGCCATTTTTACAGTCAGTAAGGAAGACTTCTTTTCTTAACCTGGCAGTAAAACCTTCCCTGAATTTTTCGTAGTGACAAACGGGCTTTACACGGAGTTCGCAGATTCATTTTCCGCAGTTCATTTTACTGTAAAGGTACTAAGGCCGAGTTTACCTCAAACTAGTCTCTCGTAAGTAAAAATGACGAGTACCAACGATTGCCGTTGTGGAAAACAACAGTTCTAAGGAACTGGGATCGCATTAGCAGAAGACGGCAGACAAACAGCTGTCTGGAGAAATCAAGATCACACCTCCAAGCAATTGATATATTGCGAGCGTTGGAAAGTTTGTTTATCCTCTTTTTCTTCGGATCCTTCAGGTCTTTTTATTTTAAGTTTAGTGGTAATTTTAATCATCTCATACACAAACTTGATTATCCTACCTTTTCAGGGTCGTAAATACTGAACAGCCTCCATTACATTGCGACCATACAGTTTTCATTCGTCAACTGTCAGTTTTTTCGGTACTGTTCTAATTTGGCGGCGTCAATTGAGGCCTTCAGTAAAAACGTATTTTTTGCTTTTGCAAAACGTTTCTGTAGTTTATCGATAGCTCAAATCAAATGAGTTTCAATAGCATGTTCAATTTTTCAGATACCTTATTTTTGGCGTCGTACCAGCCAAAAAAGATTTTGTTTCTCATTTGAAAATTTCTCACTGGATAAAAGTTTTGTTGTAATGAACTTCTAATCGTAGATAGAGAAAATTTTTCTGATTATAATGGTTTTGGTTTTCGAAAAGAACTTCTTCGAGCTTTGTAACGACCGAAGGTATATTGCATTTCACACTCAGTGAGCGCTTCTAGTCGGCTAGGCTGCGAATTGCAGAGCTCTAAGAAGTTCTTTCTAAAGAGCAAACACATTTTTTTAATCGGAAAGATCTGCTCTATTTAATGATCAAACGTTTGCTACAAAAAAACTTTTATAAGGCGGGAAATCTTCAAATGTGACACAAAATCTTATTTTGACTGGCACGGCGCTAAAAACCAGCAATGTGGGAAATAAAATATACTTCTAAAATTCACTTGCCAGATAATCATACATTCGTCAAACAACAGCAAAGAATACGGCTTTTCCGAAAGCCTCAAGTGGCGTCGCCATAACAGAACAGTACCTTTTCTCAATGGCTAATGACACTTTTCAAATCAAAAGACTTTTTCAAAGGATGTCAAGAGTTCATCGAAACATGTGAAAGTGATAGAACCCCCATGAGTCCTACAATAGTATGATCGTCTTGCTAGGCTCGCTCATAATTTCCACTCTCAAAGTGCTAGTGAATTTGCTTGTTCGGATTTTCGTCCCTTGAGAAGCGATTGTTGACCTTTCAGAAGGCAGTCGAAGCTCTGTCACTCATTGTTTAATCCAACGCACTAAGGACAACTTCACTAGTACATGTTGTTGCGCCATTGTACATTGAACAAATTACTACATCTCGTATATCATCCAGTCGAATCTAATGGTTTTTCAAATGACAATAGAGTACCTTCGATCTTCTAGATCAACCTCAATTTATACTAAGTGACGGAAGGTTCAAAAAATGACACTAGCGGAGAGTTGTGGTGCCATCAATTTTTTAAGCCCAAGCTCAAGCCTAGACGTCATCTCCAATTACTTTCTCGTAGGAAATAATTTGAGAAGTACTTTCGAAAACGATAAGACCACAACTCTCCCGAGGTGTTCTTCTGTACGCTTGCAAAATTTGAAGTGTTTAGTGACTTTTTCAATTATACATTGAAGGCTATACCTTAATCAGATGGCAAATCTGCTGTGCATTCTATTCTCTAGGAAAACCACATGCAAGGTTTCATTATTTTGGCGCTCATATGTGATTGACGTTACTCTCTAAAATTTTGTCATGGCAGCTGTTGAATAAATAGTTTTGTGTCGGCTCACTAATCTCCGCCTGACATGACTAAATCACTAGAACATACAATAAATCTCATTTAATTAGAGGCAGAGCAATAGTTTAGAATTATACGAGCGTTTAGGCTCATTCAAGCCAGTCTTTTCGTTCAAAAAGCAAGATCCATATCCTCTCTACATGTCTTCAAATTTGGCAAGCAACTTTTAGAATGTTTTTGGTGTATGTCACGACTTCATGCATTGACTGGATCCCAGCACGTTTTCCATCAAGTTATTGTCTCACATCTGTCATCCATGGAGCGGATTTCCATAGAGATCCGCCTACTATCTGAGAACTTCACTACTGTTGTTGAACTCATAACCGATTGATTCGCCTTGACAGCTTTAGGCAGTTTCAGATCCTCATCGGAAGCAGCCGTTGGATTTCTCAGAAAGGAAGATATTGCACAGCAACTCTTATCGCTTACTTTACTCTATCAAAATATTTTTTACTCCAATCGGCTCTGATATTCGCTGTACGGACTCTGGCACTTCGTGCGTTCAATTCGTTTCCTCTTATCCATTATTCACAAATGTTTTCCAACTTTTACGTCTTGGTTCTCTCTCTGCTTGATAATTTTCTTCCAACATGAACTTCGTTGAATGCTAGCCGATATAATCCCGCCTAAAGTCTTGAGATAGCCGGACTAGAGCATTCCTACTTGGATCACATAAATTGAAATTTATTGAGCAAATGTGGTCAGCGGCTAGACCCCGGAGGAGTAAAAGCTTTGTGATCCACCACGGGTTTGAACCGACACCGTGCTGATGAAGAGCGGCATTACTACTGTTTCATTATTCGCCCATTTTCCAATTGTCAGTAGTTAGATTTATATGAATGATAGAGAATGAGAGTACTAATAATGATCAAAATTTTACCTTTCTTTTCAGTGTTTTTTATGATCACAGCTCAAATTTCAATATGCCAGATAATCATTTTTTGGCCACACATGTCATGTGGTCTGTTAAAATGGGCTGACTTATATAGCCCGTTATACGTGTTCGACCTTGACAGTCTCATCAGTCGGGTGGTACCTTTTTCGTCTTTGGTCAATCCTCTCGGGGTGCTCAGTCCCCTATACCAAAAGTAGGCGACGACGAACATTTCACCCTCTATGTCCGGTGAAATTATCACCGAGCAAACAGTGTTGTACACCCGATTGATCTTGGCTGGTATCATTAATGTATCATACCTTTCTTTTCGAGTGTTTTCTTGAGACCACAGCTCAAATCGGGCTCTATAAGTCAGCCTATTCTAACAGACCACGTGACATGCGTGGCTCAATAATTATCTGGCATGATGATCACAATATTGCCAATGTAATAAAGAATAAATGTTTGTGCGAGCTTTGTACGAGATATAACGTTGCGGAATGGCAAATTACATTATCTCATGCAAAAATGCCTCGTTCAGATGACATCTGAAGAATGTTCACGCAATGAAAGTTACGACTTCTGCCGCTACGCAGTTATCGTCTATGTCGGAACGCCGATCGCCTTAGCTGGCGTTGTTTGTAATTGCATTTTGCTAGTAAGTTCCTTTCAGCCATTCAAAAATTGGTACAAATTTGCGAATACCCAACGTTTGAGTAATCGCCTCTTGAATGTCGTTCATCGAAAGTCATACGTTCTCAATGTTTTGACTTTCTGAAGTAATTCATACACATTTTTCTATCTTATCCTATCCATCTCACAAGAATTTTTTGATAATGCCATTAATTTGGGTTTTTTCTCAAGACCACGCTCAAGTTTCAATGTGCCTGATGATTATGTTTTGAACCATGCATGTGGACTATCATGGATACCGATACAAGGCAATACACGTGTTTCGGCCTTGACAGCCTCGTCTGTTGCACGATGTCCTTCGTCTTAGCCAAACCTCTTAGGAGAAACCCAAGGACCTTACATAGAGAAGACGCAGATGTGCTGTTTACAAGTGCCATTAAGTGAAAAAATCACCAAATGGCAGTACTATGTAATGGAGTTGGGTTCCGCCAAGATAATATCTAAGACGAAAGACATCGTGCAACTGACGAGCCTGACAGGGCCGAAACACGCGTGTATTGCCCCGTATAAGTGCCCATAACAGACCACATGCATGGCTCAAAAAATACTTATCAGGCATATTAGAAACCTTCAGTTTTTTTTGTCCTTCGAAATTTTCAAACATTGCGTAACTATTGTTCGTAAAATTACGGACTCATTGTTTGATCTTAAAAAGAATTTATCACTCTCTTCGCAAATTTTCTAAGCAAGAGGCCAAACTTTATGATGTTTCATTTGCAATCTTCTCGTCTCCGTTGCTCTTTTGTGGCATAAATTTTTCTCCTTACTTCAAGCCTGTATAAATGAATATGATCGCCATCTGAATTATGTAATTTATACATTTCCATACTACTGTTATGAACACTGGTTTAGTTTTCGCAATCTTTCAATTTATTTCGGAACCAAATTTGTTAAAATGGTTTACCCAATATGTGGAGTACTGTGCAAAAACGTTTGCGTCGGCCGGGATAGTGCAATGGTTAGCATACGCTCCCGGAATAGAGTGAGATCTGGGTTCTGCAATGGTTAGCATACGCTCCCGGAAAGAGTGAGATCTGGGTTCGTATCCCGGCTGACGCAAACGTTTTTGCACAGTACTCCACATATTGGGTATGCTATAAGATCATACCACTGCAAGTGGCAGTCAAAATAGAAAGAATTTAGACTAAAATGGTTTATTCATTCTTTATTGTAGAGAATTGTTTGGACGCGGAAGAATTCGATATGGTGGAATTTACACGGCTTTAAAGTCGATCGGGAATCGAAATTTAGGATAACATGATAGGAAATGAATCCTTTTAGATTCATTAAAAAATGTTGTTTCTAGAATTTGTTCTTTGGGAGACCCTATTCATTTTTACGATTTATGGGGTGGTAATAACCGCCATCTATCATTACCTGCTAAAAATCTCGTTCGGCCCGTCTCCTCAAAAGCTCGTACTCAAATCGTCATACGTTTTCCCTATAACTAGTGTAGTTGATCTGGTGAATTTTTTCTACCTTGGGACTATTACATTCTCTTGCGGCGAATTCCAGATCGCCGCCATTGACAGCCGGCAGGCGCTGTGAATCGGAAGGTTTGTCACCTCCTAGTTACTCAGGACAAAACACGGTCTCTTTCAGTAATATTTAAAGGGTTTATTCAAAATTGAATTCAGTTCAAGGGAATCAAACAGAAATAATTCACTGTGTTTAACAGATATATAGTTTACCAGGTGATAAAATTCCTCAGTAATAGATGCAGCTTGAATCAGAAAACTCGCGGCAACCAAGTAGTTAATGCAAAATTTATTGAAAATCGTGTTTCTTAGGACAGAAACGACTTGAAACGAATAATAAATGAAGGATATTATTTTATGTTGTCGATTAAGGCCTTTCAAAATTGATTAATACTTGTTTGTATTCAAAACAATCTATAACTACATGTCAAGTCAACAAAGAGTTGCCTTATTTTTGGTCGAGCTGATGACATCTCAGGTGGCATAAGTTTGATGCCAATCTAGAAAGCAAACAATTTGTTTTCAGCGTTTGTTTTCCCGTTGCCGTTCAAGGAGATCACCAGCTCTCTATCTGCTCGTTCTGGCCATTATGGGTTCGGTCTTCTCAAAAATCTAGTTTTATTGAGGAGAAATTATCTCCCTGATTCTAGACTGAGTTCAATTGCAGCCAATTACTTCTAAAGCGAATATTCCTCTTCTGTTGTAGATCTTCTCATGGATTTACTTTACATCCCATTCTTTACGGTAGACGCACTGGCCATCTATCATCAGAATGAATTTCTCTATCATACGTGGCATGTGTACGCGATGCTCGTCTTCGGTACTAGTCGAATGGGTTTGTATTTGCTTTCATCATATTTAGTTCTTCATAAACAGCTGGCCATAATTTCTCATTAAAATTGATTATATAGCGAGGCCAAAGAGTATGAAGTTAAGGTTTGTATGCGGGTGCACTCACTTTTTATCGAATTAATATACTCATTGCGAAGCGTCCTAAAAGACCGTGTGACTGAAAGACGACGTGTGTCTGTGCACCAACGTCAGTCTATAGTTCCAACGAAACTTGAGAAAAGTGGAGCGCGCACTGAGTTTCTTGATAGTCGTTTAAGTCTTATGCTTACAGATAAGATAGAAGGGAAGAAAAATGATCACAGGTCGAAAAAAGTAGGTTCTCGTGGGCGATATTCAAGGAGACGTTCAATCGTTTATGCACACCATAGCGTCTATACTATGTGGAATATGTTAGCCGAACCCGGTAAAGAATCAGCTGAAGTGTTGGAATAGATGAACTTCTAACGGTTTTTGATTTATCAAGACGACTTTCATGAATATCATATGAGATTTTGATTCTCGCTGCTATTTCTTTGTGATTAGAATTTGACATTACCTTATTATGAAACATATCCTTCATTTAGGGATAGTTTTTGAGCATTTTCTACTTTTAGACAGCTGATTGCTGTTTTACTCCGTAATTGTAACCCCTATTTCATCGCCTTCGCTTAATAGTGCTGCAAACTTGCTTCTATCAAATTCGGATTCTATCGTACATCGCGTTTCAGCAAATGTCTGTGATTCTTGTTAATTTACATAATTTTTCTGTTTGCGATGGGAACTTAGCCAATTTTGTGCATTATTTTAGTGCAGTTTGCGTCGACGTACATGGTTCTCTGTGCGACAATGGAGCGCTTCATTGTTGTAGCCGAGATCCATTCCCTCGGATTCATTGTCTCGTACGTTTGTCTGGTCTTTCAAGCATTTTCCACTTTTTTAGTGAGTAAGAGCTAGCATTTTTTTTGATATACCAGTGGTCTCTAGATTGCACCCTTACTCAGGTAATATCGACGTAATTCTCTATGACAATCAATTATCCGTAGCAATACTACTCCCTTGTTGGAACAGTTCTCTTTCCCGTGAAGGGGTCTCCACTTTTTTGTTCGAAATATCTGTTCTTTTCTGTTAGATGGCTGCAAATGAATATTCGACTCTTTTCGCTGGACATTAACTATTCACAAGAGTGTTAAGTTCAAATCTCTGGCTAGCGCCGTGCGTGGCCAGTTTATGAAAGCATTCTTTGATGCTTTTCCGTTATCTGATCGCCTTTTCGACAATTTGTAAAGAACGTATTTCTTGGTATTTTTGATGTTCAAATAGTCGTTCGATAGCGCAAATCAAGAAAATTTGAAATATCTCATTTTGAAAAAAGCCTTCTTATTGCGTTGGAAGAACAAGAATAAAATTTTGTTTCCTATTGAACGCTGACCAAAGCTTTTAATTCGGAGTTCTAGTAACCAATCAATAGATCAAATCTTAAGAATTTCAACTATTTATTTAAGTGCTATAAGGGGCCTGGTATTAGGCTGCTGCAGCCGCTTCAACTACCCTCTCTTCACTTCGATCCATTGGGAAAACGTATTTTTTGATCGCTTCCAATGATTAAATAATTGGTCGATGGCATGAACAAAAGAATTTTGATGGTGTATTTCACTTTCAAAAAAGCCTTGTTACTGCGCTGAAAGAGCAAAAATAATAATTTGTTCTTCATTCAAAGATTTCTCGCTGATCAGGCCTCTCTCCTATAGTTTTGAGAACCATACGACAGGTCAAACTTCAGGAATTCAAGAATGTTTCTGGTTGTAAACGGACTTCTTTGTGCTGCATAAGAACCAACAGAAAACTGGGCTTTACACTCAACGCTTTTTTTTCCAGTTTTGCGAAACCTAATATTCCTTTGGCTGTTACAACGTAATGCGTGGTGTGGTCCGTTTTGAAAACCATATAGATCATCGGAATTCTCAAGATTTGGTCTATCACTTGACTGCTTAAGCTCTCAAGGAAAAGTTTTAGTCAGCGAGAAATCTCTGAATGAGGAACGAAATAATATTTTCGCTCCTTCATCGCAATAACAAGGACTACTGAAGGTGAAATCCACCATTCAAATTTTTTTTTGATTCAAGCTATCAAATGATTGTTTGATCTTCAAAAACAAGCGCGAAATAAGCTTTTTCTGAAAGTCGAATCGACGATAGGAAAAGTACCCACCCTTTTTATAAGGCTGTCATATTCAAAATAAAACTATGTTTTACATCGGTGGCGCGATTCAACTATTAGTCGCTGGGAGCACGAAAGTACATAATCGTACAGAGAAAATTTTGTAATATCAGAGTCAAACATTCAATCCGGAGATTCTTTCGAAGCGAAGAAACGATTCCTAACCGAAGAACAAAAATCGCACTTCGCATTCACTTGCGAAAGAGTCAATCAATCGATGGCCGCATTAGAACGGGTTCATCCGCCATGCGCTCTACCGCACCTGTGTGGAATAGCTAAAATACCCATGCTCGCGTATGTAAGTTTGGTTTTATTTTTCCCACTTCACTGCAGGTAAACGAACTTTCCAGAAAGTAAGCTTAGTATCGGAATTATTGGATCTTGCGCTATCAAGTGATTATTAATAGTCCAAAGAAAGAGCTCTATCTTTCGAGAAAACGCGTGTTTCAAGAAAAAAAAAAGAACGGCCCACGTATGACGCTATTTAGAGATTTGTGCTTTCGAATGGTTACTAACAATCTAATGAAAAGTTGCTGACCAGCGAATATTGTCGAATATCATTTGCTGCCGTTTAAAAGAAAAGTACCAAAAAATTTTGTATTCTAAATTGAGAGCTGCTAATCAGTTACGGCCAAAATCGCTTTTAGGAACATGTAGGTATTTAATTGACTTTAACAATCATCGACGCAATTGTTTTTAGCGAGAATGGCCGGTACTTCACCATTGGGATCGTAATCGTGTGTGTTCTCGTTTTACGTCTACCGTCATTCTTTGAGTATGTGATCGCTTTCCGCCCGGAATGCCCGATTTACATGGTGAATCAAAGTTTTAAACAGTGCTATTCAAAAAAGCTAATTAAAAGCTTTCTTAATTGAAGTTGTTTTTGATGAAATGCCTTTTAGCGAGGTACTTCGCATCAATATGACGGAGGTTATTTACGTGAAACATGTCTAATAAACGGTAGTATTTCGGAAAAAAAATGCCAACGGCTCGCAAGAAGTAGTAATAAGAACGCATAAATAATAGTTGCTGATATCACTGCTTATGGATTTTTGCTACTTTTATTTTCTCTGAGTAGTGAGATTGGGATTAAAGACTTGAACCATTGATGTTCATTTTTTCTTATTGGTGCCCTCTATAACTAAATTTTTCACTGATATCAATTTCAGCGTTTTCTTTGCTTGTAACTGAATAGAGTATTCTTTGTAAGAACTAGTAGAGCAGCGAATTTGATTGTAATTTTTATTATTGTGTTTCTCCACAAGCACATCGTCATGATGTTCTTGTAGATCTAAGTAACGGCTCTGCATTGTGACCAATAATCAACATGTGTTCAAAGGTACCCAAGAAATTTATTTTGGATTACTTTCAAAAGCCGCAAAAACCAATGAGAACTGGGGCAGTTGTAGCAGAAATAAGAGCTGCAGTAGTAAAAGAGTAATCAGCGACTCAAGCGATCCCCACTCGTGAGCAAGTCTTGCGCGCGATGAACCAAAATAGTAATCAATGCGCAATTTTTTCCGTCTACAGAAC